TAAGAACGGATTGAATTGTTGGTGACCCTTTGTGTTCATGGACTGTGTAGGGTCAAGCTCCAGGGCAAACCAACCAACCGATCACTGTGAGTAATAGCGATATTTGAAACTTGTCGTTTGTCCAATTGCTTATTTCCTTATAAGCCATATAAGTTTGGCAGTTTGAATTATGGACAAATGTTTGATATGAATGAAAGAATGGGCAAGAGGCCGTTTTGATAAGAATGAATGGGCCAGAGGCCGTTTTGACAAGAATGAATGGGCCAGAGGCCGTTTTGACAAGAATGAATGGGCCAGAGGCCCTTTTGACATGAATGAATGGGCCAGGGGCCGTTCTGACATAAATGAATGGGCCAGAGGCCGTTTTGACATTAATGAATGGGCCGGAGGCCGTTTTGACATGAACGAATGAATGGGCCAAAGGCCAGTCTGTCATCTGAATGGGCTAAAGGCCGTTTTGACACAAATGAAAGTTTGAATGGGCCAAAGGCCAGTTTGTTTGGAGCCGCAGTCACTTGACCTAAATTGTGTATATATGATAATTAGAAAAATGAATTGGGCCCAAGGCCGTTCGGAGTATGTTGTTCTACATATAGTTTGTATCTTCTTAATTGATATTATTCACTGGCTATCGCTCACGCTCATTCATGTGTTTGTAGGTGAGCCAAGCGAGGTCCAGACCCAGCCCCAGTGAAGTCTGTGTGGAACAACCGAGTTTTGGAGAGTCAGCCCTAGTGTCTCACGCACGAGACTCGTCTTCGCCTTTCTGCTATGCTATGTTAATTTCGTCATGTTGGCGAGGACTTTGCATATGTCTGTATATAGTTTTCATGGGTTGACTTAGTTTTTGGATGATCCTGTTTGTACAAAACTAGTGCTACTGTATTTCTGTTGTGAGTTATTAATGTATATATGTTTGGTTGTTTGGATGTGCCATGTAAGCACAGCTCTATGGACAAAGTTTTGAACTGCTTCCGTGTGGCCCCCTTTAACTCTGTTAAAATACGTTTGGTTTGGTTTGAGGTCGTAGGTGATCTCATAATTACTGCCGGTTATGTCCTTAACCTACGGGGGCGGGTTCGGGTCATGACAGACAATTTCTACAGTCATGTGTAGCTAATCTTCTCACCCTTAGGGCTTAGATGAAGCCCTACTCAAGAAACATTTGAGGTTTTGTAATTAATTCTTTAGTTGTATGATTTTTGGATATAATTGCAAAACATTTACAGATTTTTCTACATGTATTATTTTATCTCGCTTTTTGTGTTTGATTTATGTGATTTGAAATGCATGGTTGTGCGATAGTTTTATTTGTACATATATTGAGATCCTAAGATAGATCATGCTAAGGGAAGATGGACCGTTCCTACAACAATAGTTTTAGCATAAGTTGGGTTCGTACCATTCGAAGAAGGTCTATGCCTAGAGTTTCAGTCTATGAATTTTTTGGACTATCATATTAAGACTTGTAGTCATAATATATTATATCATAATTATCCATTAACTAATCTCCCAAGAACAATTACAATTGGCTCATGTTACACAAGTAGTGGTGGATTTGAACACCCTAACGAATTTTCTTCTACCAAACTTCATCATTCTTTTATATTTACTTGTCATTTTCATAAAGTTCACATCATCAACCTTCTTTGATCAAGTAAAAATAATTTCCAATTTTAAGCACTATAGTTAGTATGGCCTGGGGTATGCCCTTTGCATTTTCGTATAGACCTTGCTACTTCTTCTTTCTTTCTTTTTTTTCCTCATATGCTTACCCACCAAAAAAAAAAATTCCAATTATTACCAACCAACTAAATTTCCTAGAAATGTTATATAAAAGGGGAAAAAATATCATCCCGAGGTCCATAATATTATGAGAAATATGAATTATACATCGAAACCGTGTAATGCACACAGAAATTATATAAATAAATAAATAAACAACGAATCTCCTATAATTTTTAAGCACTTTATTCCTAAAACTTGTTGAAGATCACGCAAAATGGGTTTCAACTATGATTGGCTCTAACCTCTAGGGTAGTTGGTATTCTTCAAAATCTACCTCCCGTGATCTTCAAGCGTGATTATAAAACAAATGGGTTTCAACTATGAATCAGAATAGGTTTCAACTATGAATCGGTTCCAACTACAAGTGTGATCTTCAACAAGTTTTAGGAATAAAGTGCCTAAAAAATCACGATTGTATTGCACTTTATTCCACTACACTAAATCGATTATAAAACTAATTGCCAATAAAAAAAACTACAATACCAGGTTTTCCATCAATTAGAAGAGGACAAAACAAAAGTTGAGTTTTTTCTGGGAAAACAAACGAGAGGGTTTGAGTAGGGAGGAGGAGTACGAAATACCTTTAAATGTAGTGACGGTACTGGAGCACTATAAGAAGAAAGATGCATTGTTCTGTACTGAAGACATTAAATAACAAATCATAAATAGGAATGGATCTCATATAAATTCAATTCCAATTATGAAAAAATAAAGAATTAATATGAACATGTGTATATGCCATTGTGCATACAAACATGTATATACATATGTTATATATATATACATAAATATATATATATATATAGAGAGAAATCACCATCCAGACAGAAGATTGTTGATGTCCTGATGTCGTAGATGTAGACCCGCTAACCCAGCAAGGCTAGTACCCAACAAACCCATCTTCATCATTTGCAATTTTGAGGGCTAAGGTCATGAGTGGTAGTTGAGAGAAAAAGAGGTAGCTGGGAGCTGCTGATCGAGCTTTCGTGGGTGATGGATCTCAGGCGACGGTGACCAACAAGGAGGTAAATCGGTGCTCTAGTTGCCGATGAACGCGAGGAGGAGCGACGGTGAGAGATGGAGGGGAGAGGAGCAGTAGAGAGGGAGAAGAAGAGGGATGCTGAAGAGAGAGAGAGAGAGAGTGATGGATCTCAGGCGACGGTGACCAACAAGAAGGTAAATCGGTGCTCTAATTGCCGGCGAACGTGAGTAGGAGCGATAGTGAGAGATGGAGGGGAGAGGAGCAGCGGAGTCGGAGAAGAAGGGGGATGCTGAAGAGAGAGAGAGAGAGAGAGGCGATGGATTTATTTGGGGTTTGGTTTGCAAAAAAAAAAAATATATATATATATATACATATGGTACAATTGGCGACCAAAACTATTTTAGTCGCTAATTAATTTTATAAATCCCTCCAAAATTTAAAATGCCTCCCTCCAAATATTTTGGTTCTTTGGTGACAAAAATTTATTAGTCGTTGAAAATAAATTTTTGGCGACCAAAATTTTGGTCGCCAAAAGATAAAAAGTAAATTTTTATTTTTCATTTGGCGACTAAATGGTTTTAGTAGCCAAAAGTCAATATACAACGACTAACATATTTTTTGGTTGCTAAAAATATGTTTTTTGGCGACCAAAAGTTTGGTTGCCAAAGATAAAAATTTATTTTTTATTTTACATTCGGCGACTAAATGGTTTTAGTAGCGAAAAATAAATATACGGTGACTAAAATAATTTTTTTGTCGCCAATTCTGGTATTTTTAGCGACTAAATTTTTTTTAGTCGCCAATAATCAATATATCTCGACTAAAAAAAATTAGTAGCTAAATATTATACTTTTGGTGACTAAAAGAATTTTTTGTCGCAAATTCCACAACTTTTGGTGACCAAATTTTTTTTAGTCACCAATTTTGGTCACCAAAGATGCATTTTGTTGTAGTGGTTTGATAACCCTAATCTCCAAAACAACTCATTATATATATTAAGATCCAAAAATAAAGAATCGGGTCATACATTTGCCCATTTATCGTCGGGTCACTATGTGAGAACCCGAATATAAAAATTAAGTAAATAATTAAATAATAATATTACAATCTCAAATATTTTTGTGGTGAATTCTAAGGTGCAAATTAAATATTATTGGAGGATCCTTTAATTAATTTTTAAACCTAAAATAAATTTATGGTGAAAGTCATTGATTTAGAAGCAAGATTTATTATTAAAAAAAAAATAGAGAAGAGGGTGTGACTTGAACTCTAGACCATAAAATTAATAAGTTAGGTTCTTACTATTTGAGTTGCATGTAACTTATATATGTATTTTGTATATTTATCTATCTATTTGACCTATGTGTGCCCACCACTAGTATAAAATAAAATAAACACAAACCCTAACTCTTGTTATAATTGTTTTCTACAACACTAGCAGCCCTAGCAGCCGTGGGTTTATGAAGGAAATAGAGGGGTTTTTCAATCATCAAGATTATTGTTGTAGCCAAGAAGGAGAGCTTTGGGTGTGTTGTGCTGTGTGGCCTCCTAGGTTTTCTTCTCTTCTTTCTTTGTTCTTCATCATTATTCTATAATTATTTTATTCATTCATGGAGAGGTTGTAGGTTTATGTATTTTGTAAATATATGTATACACTGTTAAGAAATTTAAGGAGCTAAATTCATGTATAAAGAATCGGTGTGAATCTTAGTCCAAAAATTCTGCACACAATTGCTAACTTTAAAAATCAAGAAATCATATCAAACGGATGAATTTTAATCTGAAATTTTTACAGTAGATCAATTACACATTGAATTGCATATCTGAATTTTTTCATAATTTTTGGGAGTCGAAATCCATATAAATTGAGGTATTCAAATCTGTCCAGGAAACCAGTCCGAAACAGTAAATTCGGGAGTGTTGTTCTCTTTGGGTATAAATCCAAAAATTATCAAATTAGTGTCATTAGAACCGGTTACAAGTCTAGTTTCGTACGTTTTTGGCCTTGCATTGATTGCTCGTGTATATTAAGAGAACCGTCAATTTCTTTAAAGTGCTGCAGAAAACAACCTGTTTGGATATAATAAATTGTAGATAATTATTTTGATAACCAAATCGAAATCGAGCAGTAGTCAATGGTTTGGTGAAGATGTCAGCGAGTTGATTAGTGGTAGGAACATAGGAAAGAGTAAGTTGCTTGGAAGAAACACACTCGCGAATAAAATGACAGTCAACTTCGATATGCTTCAACCAAGAGTGAAAAAACAGGATTCGAGGCCAAAGCCATAGCCGAAATATTGTCACACCATAACACAGGAGGAACAGAACATGGAATTGAGAAATCCCTAAGTAACTGTTGAAGCCAGCATAATTCAGCAGTCGTATAAGCCATGGAGCGGTACTTAGCTTTAGTGGATGAATGAGACACGGTAAATTGCTTTTTAGCATACCAGGAGATGAGATTAAGGCCAATAAAAACACAAAACCCCGAGGTAGAACGGCGATCAAGACAGTCACCAGCCCAATTGGAATCAGTGTAGGAAGTAAGGATAAATGGACCAGGAGTAAAAAATAAACCTTGAGCCAAAGTGCCTTTAACATAACGGAGCATTCGCTTTACCAAAGCAAAATGGGCATTAGTGGGACATTGCATGTGTTGGCAAGCCTGGTTGACAGCCAGAGCAATGTCAGGCCGAGTGATAGCTAAGTATTGCAAACCACTAATCAAACTGCGATACAAAGAGGGCTGGGAAAATGGCAAACTGTTAGCTGTGGCGGTAGAAAATTTAAGAGCCATGGGAGTGGGGTAGGCTTGCAATCAACCATGCCAGCCCTAAGAAAAAGCTCACCAACATATTTTTGTTGGGATAGAAAATAGCCATGAGAATGAGAGTGAACAGAAATGCCCAAAAAATAGGACACAAGGCCTAATTCCTTCATAGAGAAAACTGTATGCATGTGAGAAAGGAGGGCCTCAATAAGAGTAGAATCACTGCCGGTGAGTAGAATGTCATCAACGTCCCAAACTGAGCTAAAGCTGCAACCAACTCTTCAGCATGTGTGTGACAGTTACAGTAAGCCACCTGGAGCAAGATTAGTTAGATACAATTGTGATAGTCAAGATTAGTTAGATATACTGGTGTAACAGAATTCATTAGAGTATTGTCTATAAATATCTGTAACAATGCATTCCATGAAATAAGGAAAATATCTTCTTCACTTTTCTGTTATGATATCAGAGCACTTCAACTCCAACGAGTGAAGGTCCTTCAATGGCAAATCCACTTTCAAATTCATCTTCATCTTCTTCTATTAAATTTCAATTCTCTGATTATAGTCAAACTAGATTCTACTAATTTTCTTATCATAAAGAATACTTGTATTCATAAAATGAGGGTATATCCAACATGAAATTTGTAATCATTAGCTATCACACATCGTAAAAAAGACTAATTTAACCTTTTTTGTTTTTTTGTTTTTTTTTTTTTGGTTTTTGTCGCTTCATTTTTTTTCCCCCTTACATTTTTCTTTTTCACTTCTTTTCCATATACAAGTCTCCACAGATGCAAATTCATAATTGAAACATAAGCTTAAGGTGGACGTAAAATGAAAAATACTCGATATGCACTACATGAAATTTCACTTTTGCGACTAATATATTTGGTCGCCCATTTGGTTGCCAACAGGTTGTCAGGGAAACAATCGGCGACTAAAATGTTTTTGGTAGCCAAAAGTGACCTATTGGCGACTAAAACTTTAGTCGCCATATATATTTTTTAAAATAATTAAATATATATATTTTTTACTTTTAGTGACTAAATTATTTAGTAGCTAATTTGAGCATGTATTTTTGGCGACTAACTATTTGGTAGCCACAAGTTTCACTTTTTGAGAATTAGCGACTAAACGTTTAGTAGCCAAAAATTTCCTTTTTACAATTGGCGACTAAAAGTTTAGTAGCCAAAAGTTTCACTTTTTGACAATTGACAACTAAAATTTTAGTAGCCAAAAGCCAACCTGTGATATTTGTTTAGTCGCCAAAAGGTCTCATTTAGTTTTTATAATTTGTTCTGTAATATTTTTTACGCCACTTCTAACCTGTGCATATACAAAATTATTCATCCACTCATTCATTCATTCCATTCTCAACCATTCAATAAAATTATTTCTCCACAACCTGTAGCATTCAATTTTCAACCATATACAAAACTTAACTATTAACCGTATATATCAAAGAAAATAAGAATCCATAAACATAGTATAATCCAACAAATACATATACTATCCAAATCAACAATTAAAATCCAAATTAAAAAAAACCATAATAGCAAAACATATCAGGTGTACATGTTAAGAATAAACAAAAATATAATGTAAATTGTACCCATGCAAACATCATCAATTTGGCCCAAAAACATCATTGTATCCATGCTAACATGATCAATCTGTAACAAAAACATAATATCCATTAATATTTTATTGAATAACATTGCATTTACAATTATAAAAAAAAAAATATGATTACAGTAAAGCATGAAACCTCAATAGAACCCATCACCATGTACCAAACTTGGTAATTTGCTCTAAACATATGTAATGGTAAGAAACATGAAACATCAGCTTAAAAATAAGTTATATAAGAAAGATCTGTTAAGAATTATTTGAAAGTAAATAAAAAAATAAAAAAAAAAATTGCACAAACTGGTAAATTAACTAAAAACAAATAATAAAGCTATTAATGCCATATATATTCAAAACAGCTTATAAGCACATCAGAAACTCGGTTTTGCATCACCCATGATGTCTTGAAGGGGAATCCGAGTAACTCATCAAATGCTAGCTGATAACACAAAATTCTACCACACAAAATGTAATAAAGGGGGATCTTTCAAACTTCCAAAACTGTGGTCTCAAATATCAAGAAGTATATCACCAAGATTCAAAGAAGAATGGGACCTTTCAAACTTTTGAAATTGTGGTTCAAGTATCAAGAAGTATCACTAAGATCCCAACAATGGCAAAATGCAAAAGAAAAAGGGGGGAAATCAAATCCTAAAGGGGGGAAAATGTATCAAAATAAAAACAAAGGTTAAAAATGTGAGAATACTGAATACATTGAAAATTACTTGAAAGGCTCATACAAATTGACCATTAAATTTAAAATAACAACTACATGATAAAGAAAATTGCATTATATGTTGCAACCTCAAATCATTGGAAATAACTTCAATTGTTGCAATTACTACTGTTACAGCAGCAGCAACAGTAACAACAACTCATCTAAGTTTACTAAGCAACCATGAAAGTGAGAACAAGAATCATCACTGCGGAAGAAATAAGTTGAACTCCCAACACTTTAATCTCTAGCTTGAGCTTTTTATTCCAACTACAAAACTATTCTCATACAAGAAATTGTATCACAAGTAAAACAGACACACCATAAAAGTCTTGAATAAACGTGCCATGGCACTACAAACATAAGACAACAAGGAGTTTCTAGTAATCAGATAGTTTTGATGTAATTAATTAAAAACTATATAAGATGCATTCCAGCAAGTATACTGCTCAACACACTTTTCCTACCTGATTGAATTAGGCTAGCAATCCCCTTAATCTCACATTATGTTTCAATGGGCTATTATTAAATTCTAGATGCTTATTGCTATTACCTGCACAAGTAAAAAAGTTGAGATGAGATAGAGTAGATTTTATTTGAGATTTAATGCCCATATTCCAGTAAAAACATTTTTGAACCTCTATATTACAAACCTTGAGAAACTAAGACCACTTGCAAGGGGGTGAGGAAAAACAGCAATAGGTGGTGATGTAATGAGCCTGTTATGAGCCCCTGGAAATAAGCAATTATATCATTAATTGAAAATAAGTGGTGTAGCTGCTACAAAATGCAAAATTCTGAATATAAAAATTCCATGTGACAGTTCATTATGTAATGGTGAGAACAAAAACACCAAAAGAATTTATCATTTTTCAACTCATTTATTGCAATTCAAATATGAAGGATTTTAAGTTATAGGATATGAAACCTGAGACATGATTTCATCAGGTTAATACTTCATCACTCTTGCAACTGCAACTCTATTTCACTTTTTTGTATGGAAAATTCAAGGTATACCTGGCATATTATAGCTCGACTTTTTCGCACCCCCTTTCGAAAACTCAAAATAAGCCCTACAGTTCGGACTCCTGCGGTTCTGAATCTAATATTACAAGTGCAATGTGAAATTGACAAAAACCAAAGAGTCTAAATCTGACAAATTGTTTGGAAAATTGATTTTGAATCAAAAATGTCAAAATTGGACTGATTTGCCAAATACAGAGTCGTCATCTTAATATTTTTTATTTTGGAGAAATTTAGGAAACCCATGACTCGTGCCAAAGGCCACATGTCCGTCATCACCAAAGTTGCTTCGACTCGGAACTTGGGTACGAGAGGGGAAGGTCATGAATACATTTGAGCACCCCCGCTCGCCCGATCAAAGATCGACCTCTACTAATCATGATATGATTTTTATCAACATTATATGCTCTTGTTCCAGTTATTAGGCTAGCATTTACTATGTGATGCGTACACAAGGTATAGACTAGTTTGCCCGAATTGGAACAATTCAATTTCATATTTTGTTTTTCAAAAAGAGTTTAATTTTGCCACTTTAACAAAGTGGGCTTAAAGTTTGTGAATTTGCCACTTGACAAAGTGGGCTTTAAACGTACATTCATTGAATCATTCCAATTCAAGCAACAAGCCTTCATCCACAAGCACTCAAACAGTTTAAACAAGTAAGCACTTAGCCTCATGGCAAGCATGCTAGTCATGACAGTCATTCACACTCATACAAGTATGCTAAAATACTAAAAACTCACTTAGTGTTCCAAGCTAAGATAAAAGAGTTAGAAAAATATGCATGATTCCTAACTATGCCAAATGTCTAATGCAACACATGCGATAAAACAACTAAAATAGGCTCGGCTACTTAACATATTATTTGCAACAATTTCATAGCATGCATTTAAACACGTATTTAATGAAGTATTGAAACGACAATGCAGTTAGCATGATGCGCCAAGCCTCGGTGCATGCAATACAAGATGAATAGATGCAAGTATAAGGTATGCTAAACGAAGCGTGATGTCCCTAAACTAACCATCATAAGCAGTTAAATAAAAGGGAGAAAAATGTGGGGTTAGAAGACATACACATTATTACAACATTGACGCCCTCACGCAAGATGGTCCGAATGAACTAAGCTAACTAGCTAATTAAGCTAAGCTAAGCTAAGCTAATTATTACAAACCAAATGAATAAATAGCTAAACTACTTAACTACTTATTACAACACTTGAAATAAATTAACTAACTATTCTAAGCTAATTAATTAATTATTACAACAAAACAAGCTAACTACTTTGCCTCGGGAAACGAGGGATGTGCATGTACATGCTCGGTTTCCACCCGAAAAGACCTTTGTTTTGCTTCTGAATGCCTCTGTTTGCATAATTGAACACCAATATTGCTGCTCACTCTGCTCTACCTTAACAACACTCTGTTGTGTTTTGCATCAGTGGCTGGCCGGCCACTAGTAAATGCTGCTGGCCACCAGCCGGCTATGGTTGAAGGCTGCAGGCCATGGATGATGGTCTGCCAGCCACTGATGCTCAAGTTCAGCCTGCTGCAACAGAGGACAAACAGAGCATATACAGGGTATTTCAAGGGTTTGTTTGCACAACCCACCCCTCATTTTCATGAGGAAATCAAAGGAGTGGTGAACCTAAGCCACAA